ATTCAAAGAGAAAATAATAATAAAGATCATAATTAAATTTTGGATTATTAAATTTTGATGCCTTTTTTCAGAATGAGCAATTATAAATGATCAGGTTACATAAATAAAACTGTCTTTAAGGATTTTGAATAAATGATATCTTTCGAATTTTAATTACAGTACTAACGTGGATGCATTGAATGTGGAATTTGATTTCCGTTTTCACCTTGAAGTCGCGGATATAATTCGATAAGCATATATCATTACTTATTTTATATGTACTTATTCGAGTGATTAGTGTGAAATCACACAAGCATATATAAAGTACATTAATATAATAATCTCTCTGTTTCAAAGTACAGGAGGAAAACTTTTTAGGGGTAGGTTTTTATTTTATTTTATATGTCTTTTTAAAAGTTGAAAACACTATTTATTATGGCAACCCAAAAACACTATTTATTAATATTTTTTTATATTATACCTTTAATTATTTTAACAGTTTTTATTAAGATTTAGGGATTAAGCCTTAAGGAAAAATTCGAAAACGTGGCCATCGTCAATATCAATCCATCCCTATTTTTATATATTGACTGTATTTTAATCTGCCTGCACATATACCACAAAATGCCCTAATCAGATGTTTTAAAATGGTTTAAGGTGGTAAAATCACGACAATTTTTATATAAAATCTGGTGCTATATATACAAATATATATATATATATATTAAAGGAACGTGGGGGTATTATTTCATCATATGTATTTATTGTCTAAAAACTGGTCTGTAAGCATTAATTTTAGTTTAAGAGAGTTTGTTAGCATTGTTGAGTGTTGATGCTCTTGCTAAGCATGCCCGTTATGCTTGGACCGAGTGTAATATCCTTAATTTCCCTCCTCCTTGGTTAGTACGGATGAATGAAAGGGAAGGATATGGGAAGAAAATTACTTTAAAATTCCACTCAAGATAATTAATTACTTTCTTGTTCAGCATGTGTAATTCTTCCAAAGACGAATGCTCACAGGCAGAGGCATTGCGTAACCCTTGCTGATCTTGTTATCACTTTTATCCAAGAAAAAAACAAAAGAAGAGTCGGAAGCAATTAATGGTGCAAGACTTGGAAACCCTTTTTGGAAGGAAATTAACAAGGCCAATGTGTTTCTTTTTTTTGACTTTTGTGCACCTTAACGCTATTGGATGGCCCTCGTATCTCCAAGTTGATCAAGAAGTCATTAAGATGCCGACCATGACTTGTTGTATTTATAAGAATTTTCAGATAACTTCTCATATTAATTATGAATTTTAACATCGTATAAAGGTGAAATATGCATATGAATATAACTTATTAAATAATAAAATTTCCCCTTGAAGGATTTAAAATGACTTAAGGGTATGTAAAAAATTTTGAGAACATTATTAGTATATTTAATTGTGTAATTTTTCATAAGCTTAAAAAAAGGTCGATCTAGTTTTTGCTTCAACCACAGCCGAGCGAGTTGAATAAACTTATCTTGAGGTGCTGATTTTGAGTCTTAATATATTCAGTCACATTAAATAAATATATTAAAGACATTCTGAGATATCTACAAGGCTGTCATTGATCATAACAGTCTCACAAGAATTCTATATACTGGTTATCTATTGTAATTTTTGAGGTTTTTTTTTATAATTTTTTTGTCAACTAACATTAAAAGTTAATTTTTGTAAATGGTAGCAGAGGCGGCATTGCACCATTTTTAAAAATTAAAAAGAAATATCACACAAAAAATAAATTTAGGATCTCAAATGCTCTTGGATCTATATTTTAGGGACAAATTTATCATTTAATTCATATTTTTAAACCAAGAGTAAATATTTTGAAAATAAGTGTTTCTTTGCACAAGTTGAAGAATTGATTTGGGAGAATGAAAGTTAGGTCCTAAAACTTTGAATTAATGATAGTCAAGTTCTTAATATCTTTTTTAAAAAAATTAGTTAAAAATATCTATCCAGATAATTACAAATTTAGAAACTTCAATTACAAATAAGTATTAATTAAATATTAAATGTAACTCTTAGATTGAAATGAAATTTCTGTTTATAACTGTTTGAATTAAACATTGACAATTCATTTTGCAAAAAAATTTGTACAGGACTTAAGAATTATTAATTCAGTATTCTGAGACCTAATTGTGATTCTCCCATTGATTTGTTGAATACCACTGTTCAAAAGTTATTAGTTTTTTTTTAAATATATGCTGTGATCATTTTCTATGGAATAATTTATCTGCTCTGGAGTGCCATACTTTTAACCAGGACAATATAATTATTGGGTAATTAATACTGTATTTGCTATAACTACTTCATCAGTAAAATCAAGTTACTGGCAAATGAAGATATATTGACACGAACAATTTATGTTATTTTTAAGAAACCATTTTATGTGATGATTTAGTTCAGCTAAATTTTAAACCGCAACGAATCGAAAATGTGGATGCTTGCTTGATGTATAATATTTATGAAACGTGTTCTCGGAGTGTTTATTTATGTAATTGTGAAAGTATATTATTATTATACACATAATTTTATCTTTTAAACAACTTTTATCATTACACCTTCACAGAATCACGGTGTACGAGGAAAATGAAAAGTATATTAATAATTTTAAGAAAACAGGTTTAAGTTATGTCAGAAGAATAGATTCCATCCCAGGATGGATAGGGTTGGGGTGCAATTTCACGACGGGGTACCTCACAAGTGCTGGGCCAGATGGGCACTGCATTCATAGATGATAGAAGGAATGTTAAAGTCTGGACTCTGGAGCCATAAATCATAATGGCTCAAGACTTGGAAACTGTTTTCCCAAAGCACGTTCACGAAGCCATGGCTTTCCTGACTTCCGCGCGCCCCTATAACTTGTAACGCCCTCCACATCCAAGACTCTCCATTTTTTCCCTTCATTTTCCTCTATTTTTCCAATGCCCACATTTATTAATTTTATCATTAAAAAAATTATTTAATAAAATAATTTGAATGGTAGGATTTGGAAAATGGAGGAGAAAAAAAATGGAGAGATCTTTCCAAACGTGGTCCCTTATAATTTTCCAGACAACCAACGCCTTTCTCGTTACGTTCGTTTAATTTTATTCTGGTTTTACCAGCTGCCACCTTCTCCGGTTACTTTTACCCCTTCCAGTAAAACTGCCCCTAATTACAAGACTTCTCTTCTCTTCCAAGCCATACAAAATTGTAAATCTCACTTTTCTTAACCTTTCATGCGATTGTCATTGACAATAAGTTGGCAGTATTTCGTCACTCATGAGCCCTTGCCAGCGCCCTTGTTTAACTGCATGTCGTCACGCCTTAATTAATTTGTTAACGCTTTTGCTCACGTACTCATTACTTTATTCCTTCCACACCCTCATCACGGGGCCCACCATGCAATCCTGTTTGGCGCAACAAATTAATTTAATTTCACGCGTGGAGCTTCCATCTCATAACGGTACACTACTAATTAAAAATTAAAAATAAAAATATTCATAATGCTTGCCCGGACTCATTGGAGCTAGACTATACAAAAATCTTTCAATCTTATCTAATAAAGTTTGACTTAAGATGGTTCAATCATGTCCGGTCTCTATAAATATTAGTCCTTCAAAACCAAAAATATAAAAAAGAATAGACTATTTATTCGAGGTGGACTGGACAAAAGGTTGGACATTTGGATCACTTGATCCAGTCTGATCCTATTTACTTATTTAATATAATTATAATTAAATTATTTTTAATAAATGTTTTAAGTGTAATTGATACTGAGGAAATAATTGCATCAAGATTTTTTGAGTTTGTTTCTAAATTATTATTGTGATGTAGGGCTATTGAAGTTTGTTGAGTGTTGTTTTTGTTGAAGTTATAAATTTAAATTATTTAGACTATAATTGAAATATTTTTTTTCTTATTGAAAATTATTATAGATTTATTATGATTAGAAGTGTTTTTATTATTTCAATTGAGTTTATTAGATTAAAATGAATTATTACTTCTCATAAAGAAAAAAAAACAGCTAAATGAATATTGGACTAACATGATCAGTCTCTCAATCCTATAGACTAAATTTAATCTTATTAAACTTCAAGTTATTACTGAATAAAAATAAACTATAAATTGTCTAACTCAATCATTCTTATAAAAGAAATAGTACTTTATGTTAGATTGAAGTACAGTATTCTTCAATTCTTCGTGCAACCCTGGTTGGGGCCGTGTCCTCATCATGATGCTTCTTTCAAAGGCTCACGCATGTGCTAAAAATAAATAACATTATTTTCAGCTGGATATGTTCGTAGACTCATCAGTGGCTATAGTTGAGCCCAATTTTCACTGATACCTCAAATTATATATCCTTGCCATATAACCTGCGCTTCCTGTCTTTTTTCTGATCTCGGCACTCATTCATATACTATATTTCGAGGAAAGTTGATGGGTTATGAAAATGAATAATTATTTAATTGGAAAAAAAATCAAATAAATAAAGCGTGTGCATTAATGAACAAATACAACTAGGCTTGAGTTTCAAGGAACCATACTGGGCCCTATTTGTCGAAAGGCGTAGGGAAATTCAAGGTCAAGGACTGCCAAGATATATATATATATATATATATTTGTTTGTGTGTGTGTACACAGTTTGAAAATAAACCCGGTCAACGGGACTCGGTAAGAGACATCTTGTATGGCTCCGAGTCCGAGAGACAATTCTAGAGTATAATCGCATTCGCGGCAATACAATTCCGTCCCAAGATAAATCACTCGGTTACACGTAAACTTCCTCCTCAAGTTCCTCTAATTGAGAACCCGCGGTGTTGTCGTTTCACTCCCTCCCTTATATATACGCCTTCCCATCATCACACCACTAGCTTCCCACGCAGAATTAATCGGAATCCCAAGCAGGCATAACGGCGGGCCCATTTCTTCTCCCTCACCACAAAATCACTCGCTTAAAGGGAAATGAAAAGCATCTGCTTTCACCCCAAGACGCCTTCATTCTCCACCATGACCAGCTCTAATCACTCGGAATCCTCTGATCCAAGTTCCTCGACGGCTATGAGATTTTCGGAATCCAGCATAGACCAGTGCATCGAGGATGCCCGAGCCTTGATCCTCAAGTGGAACCCAGAAACTTCTTCCTACGCCCAAATCACATCCCTCTTCTACGACGACAAATCTGAGGCCATGCACTACATCAAATGCGTTAACCAGCTCCACAAGGTAATGCATCTTCTCCACTCCCACCAGAACCCAATCTTCTCCGAGAAGCTCAGTCTCGCCACCAAATTGATGCACATGGCCATGAAAAGGCTTCAAAAGGAGTTCTACCAAATCCTATCCATCAATCGGGCCTTCTTAGACCCAGAATCACTCTCCACCGTCAGTAGATCATCTGTCAGTTCCACCACTTCCGATTTCGATGTCGAAGATGCTACTGCACCGGAGGACGACGTACGAACTGCCGGTGATTCTATTTCTGAATTGGAACAAGTCTCTTCACTTGCCACCAAAGATCTTGGGTCTATAGCCAAGTGCATGATCTCTTGCGGATATGGGAGAGAATGTTTGAAAGTCTACACGGTCATTCGAAAATCCATCATCGATGAAGCAATTTATCGGTTGAACTTGGAGAAATTGAAGACTTCTCACGTTAATAAGATGGACTGGCAGGTTCTTGATTTGAAAATCAAGATGTGGTTGGAGGCAGTGAAGGTTGCTGTGAGAACGCTCTTCAATGGAGAGAGAAAGCTATGCGACGATGTCCTCGCCGCTTCAGATTCCATCAGAGAGAGTTGCTTTGCCGATATTTCCGGAGACGGAGCCACTATTCTATTCTCATTCCCTCAACACGTAGCCTCCAGAATTAAGAACTCGCCGCCGGACAAGATGTTTAGGGTGCTTGACATGCTAATTGTGTTAACTTCATTATTGCCGGAGATCCAATCCATCTTCTCTTTCTCCTCGACCTCCGAAATTTTAAATCAAGTCCATAATTCTCTGCTCCGACTGAGCGAGTCCGTTCGGACGATGCTTTCAGACTTCGAGTCCACCATCCAAAAAGACACATCCAAGTCGTCGGTAAAATCGGGCGGAATTCACCCGCTGACCATACAAGCTATGGGCTTTCTCTCAATTCTCTCGGATTACAGTAACGTTCTCTCGGAAATATTCTCTGAATGGAGTCCACCACCAAAGTCTCCAGTGCCTGAATATTTACTAGAAAGTCAAGATTCCGATGAAGCGTCAACGACGCCATCGTTCTCTGCTAGAATATCTTGGCTGATTTTCGTTCTTCTCTGTAAGCTCGACAGCAAAACAAAGCATTGCAAGGACGCTTCATTGTCGTACCTATTTCTGGCAAACAATCTCCAGCATGTGATAATCACAACGCGAAACTCGAACTTGCAGTACGTGCTGGGCGACGAGTGGATCAGGAAGCACGAAACGAAGATGAAGGGGTTCGTGAGTAAGTACGAGAAGTTGGGGTGGGGCGAGGTGATTTCGTGCTTGCCGAGAAATCCAAAGGCGGCTATGCCGGCGGAAGAGGCGAGGGCCATATTCAGGAAATTCAACTTCCATTTTGAGGAGGCATATCGGAAGCAGAATTCATTCGCGGTGCCGGACAGGAAATTCAGGGAGGAGATCAGAGGATCGATAGCGAGAAAAATAGTGCCGGTGTATGAGGAGTTCTACGAGAGGCACAGGACCACTGTAGGATCGGTGAGAGAAATGGCAATGTACGTGACATTTCACCCCGATGACGTGAAAGGTTATCTCGCGAACTTGTTCTTTGCCGGGATAAAATCTGGCAGCGTAGCGACGTCGTCTTCGTCGTCATTGTCTTCGCGAACGTCATCTCCTCAACGGCCGCAGCAGAGGAATTAGGAATCAGAGTCAGTCAAGAGAACTGAATCAAATTGGATTTTTTGATGCGGGATGGAAACACATGCACACAATTTCGATGGCAATCAATTTTCTTTCCTAATATACATTCTGGCTTTTTTCTTTTCCTTTTTTAAATTTCTCGGTATACGGTTGAGTAGTGTCTATATTGGATGTGGACCCAGACCTTTCCAATGTTTTTTCCCTTGAAAAAATGATGTATAAAATTAAATATATTAACCATTTACGCGTATGCTTTAATTAAACGAAAAATAAATTTATTTCATCAAATAAACAAAGACCCGAGCAAATAACAAAAAACCACACTATATCTGAAAGAAAAACTTTCTCAGTAGTATATGCAGAATAAAAAAATGAAGATACATATGCTTCAATTATCAAAAAGCCTGCATTTATATGTGATAAGACGAACGTGTGACTTGCCGCCAAGAAAATAAGTGGCTGGTGTTACTCCCATATTATGCGCCGTTTGCAGATTTTTCTAATTTTTGTTTTTTTAGATAATTGGTTCCTAATGTCAAATGGTGAATTCTCTTGTAAGTTCTGAGCGTAGGTTCTGAATTGATGTGAGCATGAGTTGATGTTGAATTAATGAGACTTGGTGAGTTGATGGTTGCAAGATCAGCGATTGGGCATGGTCTTTCGTTGTTGCTGATTTATATGTGGATGTGGACGTGGGTTGCAGTGAGAAAAGGGAGGGATGGCATCGATTTCGTGGAAGGAAGAAATTGCTACAAGCTTTGTGCGGGACGAAATCAGAAAGAGAGAGCGGCACGGGTCTGACATTTCTCCGAAACCAAATCTGCTGGCATGAGTTTGACAAATATTAACATTCACATTGTGCTTCTCACCACGAGTAGTTCTTGCTTCCGCACCCCATCGTGTGCACACTTGAACACTTCCTATGAATTCTTTAACCAACTTGCATATGCAGGCCAGGAGCAGAGATTAACGTTTCGTAGAATGAAAGGCCAGTCTTGTGGCATTGAACCCCGGACAGATTCTGTTTTGGGAGTCCATCACCCAGAAGCTAAATACCAGCAGCTGATTGGCTGAGAAATTTCAGGTGAACAAACTTCATGGCAATGGTGCATCCATCCTCTTAATTATTGGCAGAATGACAATTAGGTTTCAAATGAATTAATTAATGATAGTTAGATTCTCAATAAAAAATTTTATAAAATAAATTATAAATATCAATTCAAATAATTACAAACAAAAATATCTATTATAATATAAAAATTATATTTGATATTTAAATATTTATTTGCAATTAAAATTTTTGAATTTGTAATAATTTGGATTGATATTTTCAATTTATTTTTAAAAAAATCTGTTGGAGACTTAACTGATATTAATTCAGTGTTTTGTAATCTAACTGTCATTCTCCTTTAATTATTTAGCACTCTTCAACCTCTTCCGATATAGAAATTTGTGTCCCACCATCTTCAAACACGAACCAAATCCTCTCAACATTTGCGTCCCTCAACGTCATGTGTCCAGATGATTAAGGGCTTGTTTGATTAACTTTTAAAAGTACATTCAAACACATCTGTAATGTGCTTTTACCAAATCCAACAAATAGTTAGATTTTTCAAATGTATTTTTGTCATATGTAAATTGAAATTTAAATGGGTACTAAAATACCCACAATACATACATCACATGGCTTTGAAAAATGTAGGTAAATAATTTGTTTTAAAATAGTGAGAAAATACATTTTAAAAGATCATGTAGGGATAAAACTAGGTCAGACCTAGCTATATTTTGACAAAACAAACTATTTGTATAAATAGATCTAATTATAAGCTTAAGCCAAGCCTTTTTGTTAAACAAGTCATAGAATCAAGTGTAATATCCTAATTTTTAGATAATAAATAAATTGTAAAATTAGGGTTTTATTGAAGATTTGAAGTTAAGGATTTTTATTGTTTTGAGGTTAAATTAAGGAATGAATTTGTATTTAAAGTTATTTGAGATTAATAACATATTAGGCATTTGATTGTGGAATAAATTGAGCCTAAAATCATATAAGAGATGTTTATTGACTTCTCTTAAAATATAATTTAAAAATAGAAGAAAAATGAAATATGATATGATATAAAACAAATAAATAACTAAACGAAAAAAAAAAAGAGGAAAAGAAGTAGCACCAGATTGCGTGCATGTGTATGTATATTCAATATATTAAAAAGAGAGGAAGAAAGGGGGAATGGAGACGGAATAAGTTGTGAGAGCCACGTCCCATTTTAATATTACATATCCCATCACCCTTCCCTTCTTCATTTTCCTCTTCCTCGTCTTCTTTTTGTACAGTATCCACCATTTCCAAACTTTTTTCATAAATATTTTTCACTTATCAATAATGATCTAATAGTAGCATTATTTTAATATAAAGCAAATTTTCTTATTAGTATTTTTTATAGGATAGTTAATTTAAAATTATGATGATTTAAAAATAAATGTTTAGGTTAGGGGTGTAAATGCTCTAGAACATTTCTTTAAGATTGGAACTTAAATTTGAATTTTTTTAATTAAACCCTATACCTATATGGTTGATTTTATGTTGAATATAATATGTTGGGATGATTTTTTGATTATTAGATACTTATTTGGGAATGAATAAATATTTCTATGGCTTGAAGATAATTTTTAAGTTTTTAATTTATTTTTGGATGAATTTTTAAAATATGGATGGATGAATTTGTAATACTATAAGTGATTTGAGACTTGAGTATAATTTATTAGGGTATACAAATTTTAGGAAGGAATTTGAAAAGTTAAACAAAGCACTAACCTTAAATTAGGGTTAATTTATATCTTAGGCCTATGCTTTCTAGACTCTTTAAATTAAAGTTATTTATTAATTTTAATGTGAAATTAATGTCTAGTATTATAGAATAATTGTATAAATTGTGTCGGCAAATAGAGTGGTAAAAGAGGAGCTGTGAAGTGAAATTTGTTATTCATGATATAAGGTAACCATTCTTAATATGTGGCGATGCGCACACGAGTGATTGATTATATGTTATTTTATTGTTTGTAAAATTGTAATTGTTTGGAAGTGATGTGTTTTATTTGAAAATTATTGCCAAGTGAGTTTAAGATTGAATATGTGTATTATGTTGATAAATATATTATTGTTTGGAAATATGAAATCAATTCAGTTGTTTTTCTATCAAGTTATTTAAAATATGCATGACTTGTTGAGGTATTTTGCAATATTGTTGTTGTTAGGATTTTGTGCGAAAAAATTAATTACCAAGTGGTAAACCCCCATTGAACCTAATGAGTGGCTTGTAACTTAGTCTAACTCACATTTGTTCGGGTGATTTGGCTTTCAAGTATGGTATAAGGAGGAATATAAATGTAGTCATGCAAATTAAATAATTGTTTGATTTATTTGGAAATAATTGTTTGGAAAAATATTTTGTTTGCTCACTTAACAATCACATGATTAATTGCATTTGCATGCATTATTGCATATTGATTTTGGTTTATGGAACCCTTATGTTTTATTCTTTGTGATTAATATTTTTATAAAAAAAGGGTCTAGTAGGTAAAACACTCAAGGAGTAGCTCGGTGTGTATTGTCACACCTAGGCCTATTTGGCCTATTTTTGTTAGATTATATGTATATATGCCAACTTAAAATCACATCTTTAGATTAGTTGAGCATGTAGACTTATTATTTTTAATTAACTCTTATTTGTTTTTAATTAACTCTTACTTGTTTGCCATAGGACATCTATCTGCTCCTCGTGGCCATAATTTAAATATTATATTTTGAATGAATACTTTATATGTTGGCCATGAGACTTTCGTCTACCCTCATAGCCCTAGAGGATTATTTGAATACATTGATGCATGTTTTGAGGTTCATGTTGGTAGGTGGCATTTGTTAATGTGATGTTGTGATCAAGTGTACTAAGTGAGAGCTTTGGTTGGATGGTACTTATCGTTTAAAAATGTGTTCTCCAGACTGTGTTGGCATTGATAGTGAATTGTTACTTGTAAACTGCTAGTTACCCAACCAAAGTCTTGTATTTTGTGACAAGGGTATACACTTGAGCCACCTAGTTGATAAATGTTTTGAGGAAAATACATTATTTGGAAATAATTTGTCCTGGGAATCAATGCTTTAATAGTGTTTGTGCTTTTTCAAAAAAGTGTTGAGTTTTAAATAATTGTTTCATGAGATCCCATTAGATACACTTTAATGCAGGAATTTCCTATATTACCATAGTATAGTTATTTTATTATGTTTAATTCTTTTTTATTTGATAGATCTTGTTTTATTATGGTAGATCTTGTTTTATTATGATAGTCCATTTGTAAAATATTTTTTAATGTAAGGACAACTCTTTCCATCACGGTGAATTTTATAAAAATAGTTTTATTTTTAATTATTACAGTACTCTCTTTTTCACCCCGGTAAAGTGTTAAAATAATATTTTAAATTCTTTATACCATAGTAATCATTTATTTACCATGGTATTGTTTTATAAATGTAAATTTCACTCTTTATAATCATGGTAGACCTTTTCTATCATGGTAAGTGTTTAATGACTTTAGTTTGATTAAATAAATATAAAGTTTTAAAAAATTGGTAAGAAATTTTAGGATGTTACACCAAGCCTATTTAAGTAAATAGGTTCAAATTGTAAAAAAAAAATATTTTAAAAGATCATATAGAGATAAAAAAAATCCAAACCAAGTTAGATTTTGACAAAATAGGCGTATGCTATTTGTATAAATAGGTCTAATTATAAGTTTAAATCAAACATTTTTATTAAACAAATCAGACAATCAAACCTGTTTAAATAAATAGGCAAGTCTATTTATTTAAAGCCTGGCCTACATGCCTATTTGTTTAAATTTGTATGTTATATTTATACAAGTAAATATTAATTTTTCCTTATATAAATATAAGTAAATATATATAATATTATAATTAAATTAAATTAAACTTTATTGAAACA